AATAGCTTGAGAATTTTATTTACTCACTGAGAGATAAAGATAATATTAAAACTAGTCAGGTATTTATAGGTACTTGTGAAATAAAAAAATACATTCTAAAAGCATATAAAATTTCCAAAGAGGAAATTTGAACATATAGATAAGGATATATTTGCAGTGTTATGTGTTTCTGGCATCATAAGTTTTATGAGCAAATATATAAACTCTAATTACATATATTTAACCTTTTGAATAAAACCTTGATTTCTTTAATTTTAGAAAGAGAATGATAATAATGTCTACTGCACAGAATTCTCAGATTAAATGAAATGTTGAATATAAAATACTTAGCATGAGGCCTTCCGTATTATAAAGGTTTAGGAAATATTTGTTAATACTAACGTCTTTTCTCCCAAGTACAAAAGATGATAACTTTATACCATGTTTTAAACTTTTCTTTTAGATGTGCTGAAAGACATTATGACACCGCCAAATTTAATTGCAGAGGTATGTATAAATATACCATAGTTATATAACTTAGGACCAGTAGACTGTCTTTTACTGTCTAGCAATAAGGAATCATCTAGATTATTGAGATAAACATTTATCTTAAAAGAAGGGCTTTACTGTTTGAGGCAGTTGGTGTAATAATAAGCAGTTATAGGGAGAAGGCAGAACTACTCAATGTTTTTGTATTGAGGAATGACTTAAGAGATGGAAAAGGATAAAACTATGGGTAGAAGAATCCTGGTAGATGAGAGCTGAGAAGTGCTTTAAATGAGTTCTGGTGCAGGTAGAGGTAAATGCTGCCTCAGAACCCATAAAAACTTCCACTCCAGCTTGGCAAATGCTGTCATGAGGGTCAGAGAGAGAAGTGGTACAATCAGTGCTTGATGGATTGATGTATTTGCCATTGATCCCCCCTGAAAATCTGGAATGGACTTTCAAACAGATGGTTTTGAACTTGTGAAGCACTTACGACTGAGAGTCAGTACAATATACTGAGAATATTGTTTTTTTGGTGGAGTTAGGCTACTGCTTACTAGGCAAAGTGTGCTGTAGTTGAGGTCTATTCAGCTTTAAATAGACATGTAACAGATTTTCTCGGATGGGGAAATGAAGATGGAATGAGTGCACAGTTAGGAGATGACAAAGTAAAGCTGTCCTGCCAATTACATGTAATAGTTGTCAGTGTCTACCAGAAGAGCTTTCCTGTCAACATGAGAGGATTTGATTAATTGTGTCCTGTACCATGTTAGGATGACTTAGTTGAGAACATAAGACATCATTTTTACATATGTAGATGACAGAGGATAAATTAGTACATTGGTATCTGTCAGAATTTTTAAGCATCTTAATAGGGTGGAGCCAAGGCATTAACATATAATTTAATAGTGATTAAACTAAAGTCCTATTTCTAGAAAAAAATTTTTTTAAAATCCTCAACCTTTGACTCTAGGGAACTGAGAAATCTTGAATTCTTTTTTTCTTTTTTTTTTTGGCAGTACTGGGGCTTCACACTTGCTAGGCAGGTGCTGTACCACTTAACCCAGTCTACTTGTCATTGTTTTGTGTTGGGATTTTTGAGATAGGGTCTCGCTGGTTTTTTTTTTTTTTTTTTTTTTTGCCTCAGGCTGGCCTCAAACCATGATCCTCCTGATCTCTGCCTCTGGAGTAGCTAGGATTATAGGCATAAGCCACCAGCACCCAGCTTGGATTCTTAATAATTCATGTGAAAAGACCTAAAATTTCATTTGATAAACTTTTACTGTCACATACTTTTTTTAAGTAATTCTTTTCACTTACTTTGTAAATGCTTATCAAGTCTTGTGTATATAATATTGACATTTGCAAAACCATTTTTAAGCCCACTTATTATTTTTATTTTATGAAATGTAAAATTACTCCTTTCCAAACATGACTACTATAATCTCTACTTTCTTTGAAATAAGTTTTTTGATGATGCAGTAGTAAGTATTGGAAAATGCATTTTGATCCCTGACAAGAGGCTCATGTGTCTTTTATTTTGGATTCAGCTGTACCTCTGATGTGTTGTGAACTATGCTTCTGAGCATACAGCACAGATTCCTCCAACACAAAGTGAGGAACATAACTCTTGGCCTTCCTGTCTAATGGATACATTTATGAATTTATAATTGTCTGTTTTCCCTGGAAAATAATTTGTTGTTAACCTAATTTTTTTCTTTTAAACACCTGTTAGGTTTACATGCAACATTTCAAAAGTTAGCTTATTTTCAATTTAAAAGTTCAGTAGAGTCCTTTCTTATTCTGAGATTATCTTTTTTTACCACAGTTGCACAGTATCCTTTTGAAGACCATAACCCACCACAGCTAGAACTCATCAAACCCTTTTGTGAAGATCTTGACCAATGGCTCAGTGAAGATGACAATCACGTTGCAGCAATTCACTGTAAAGCTGGAAAGGGACGGACTGGTGTAATGATTTGTGCATATTTATTACATCGGGGCAAATTTTTAAAGGCACAAGAAGCCCTAGATTTCTATGGGGAAGTAAGGACCAGAGATAAAAAGGTAAGTTATATTTAATGTTTTTCTTTTCCTCTTTCTAGATCCAAGAAATTATTGGAAAACAAATTTTTTTCTGCAGCTTTACTAAGGTATAATTTACAAACAAAAGTGATTATATATATTTAGAGCGTGTATGGTGATATATTGATATGTATACATTGTGAAGTGATTACCATAGACAAGCTACTTAACATATCCCCATCTCCTGCCCCACATAATTGTTCCACTGTGGTAAGAATATTTGAGATCGTATCTCTCAGCAGTTGTTGTTTTTTGTGTGTGTGTGTGTTTGTGTGACTGGAGTTTGAACTCAGAGTTTTGTGCTTGCAAAGCAGACACTCTACCACTTGAGCCACACCTCCAGTTCATTTTGTTCTGGTTATTTTGGAGATGAGATCTTGCAAAGTATTTGCCCAGGCTGGCCTCAAACCTTGATCCTCCCAATCTCAGCCTCCCAAATAGTTAAGATTACAGGTGTGAGCCACTGGTGCCCCTAGCTTTCAGCAGTTTTTAAGTGTACAATACATTATTATTAATTGTCACTGCCATGCCGTACAGTAAATCTCAAGGTCTTTTTTATCTTGTGTAACAGAAACTTTATATACTTTAAGCAACATCTCTCCATTGTATCCCTTACTCCTTGCCCCTAGAAAGGAGATTTTAAAAAGATAGTTGCTAATACTTACTTCTTTCTTCCAGATCTTTAAATCAGTTGCTCCAAAACCTCTATATGAGCAAGTGACTGATTTCATTTCACTTTTCTGTTCATACTGCCATTTTCATATCATGCTTGCACATCTTACCCATTAAATGTATTGCAGATTTGTTTCCCAAAATCCTTGCAAAACAGCATTTTAAAAAAGGAACATGTTAACCAAAAGTAAGCTTGATATTTCTGCAGCTTGCTTGAGAATAAAATGTCTTTGGATAATAACGTCAATGTCATTATCTAGTAAAGTGTGATCTTTACTTTCATAATAAATAAAAATCATTCTTTCATATGAATATCCATAAATGTAGTTAAATTTAGTTTAGTCAGAGATTCATTGATTATTCAGAAAACCAAAGACTGTTGAAAAATCAATGACAAATTTAACTTATGTAATACATTTGAAAACAAAACATAACTCTTGGGGGAACTTTTACAATGATTTTTAGTGAATCCATTTCCTTGCGTGGTATGACAGAACACATTAACATTTAATATAAAGAACTTTTGTACATTTGTCTTTCTATAAGGACAGAACCCAACCTATTCCACATAGATAGAAAAACTCAGTTCGAGGGAGGAAGGTAGCATAACTGTATGTGAAAATTCACTCTTAGATTTAATAATTTTTATAATCAGGCAGGATCCTCCAGGTTAAGCCAGTTTCTTCTTAATTCAACTTCAGATCAAAAACATGACCATATCCATTATGTTAAGCTATATATATTTGCATCAGTTCCTACTTACTGTCTTTCTTCCTCTTCTTTTCTTTTTGGTGGTACTGGGATTTGAACTCAGGGCCTTGCACTCAAGTGCTCTGCCACTTGAGTAATGCCTCCAGTCCTTTTTCTCTAGTTATTTTTCAGATAGGGTCTCAAATTTTTTTACTAGACTGGTCTTAGACTGCAATCCTACTACCTGTGCCTCCCACGTACTTGGGATTACAGATGAGAACCACCATACCTGACTTCTTTGGTGAAATGGTGTCTCGCCAACTTTTTGCCCATGCTGGCCTCAAACTGTGATCCTCCTCATCTCTGCTTTCTGAGTAGCTGGGATCACAGGCGTGAGTCACTGTGCCCAGCCCTCATCACTTACTTTCTAACCCCTTTGTGACTTTTTGAATTATGTGGAAGGATGTGAAAGTATTATTTATTCATGATAGTTCACAAAATGAAAACTTACAAATTGGGCAAGATATTTTTTGATAAAACAGAAAAGTTATGTAATGAGCCAAAATATTATTAGGTTTAAACTAGGCACTCTTAAGCTCTTCATGTTACATACCTTTAAAAAGTCTGATGAAAACTGTAAATGTTTTTTCCCGCCAAATGGTGTGTGGTATACATATATATATAATATTACTTGTAACTATAAGCACTGAATTAATTGCACTGAAGCTTTTTAACATAAATGTGAAAAACCTTCATAAGAATTATGTCTTTTTTTTTCCCACCATGTAAAAACCAGTGGCCAATACTTGGGAGCAATGAATGAATCTAAATGGTAACAAATTAAAACTTATATTATTGTCTCTGACTTTGCAACTTTTATTTCAATCAATTTATACCCAATTTTGACTTAATTTTTGGTGTAAACAAGCAGTGAAACTATCGCACAACAAAGAATAAGTGGAACCTGTAGATTCATCTGACCAATGAAAATAGTCTCGGGTCAAGAACTGAGTTTTCTAAGGCTCTTTGGAAAAATTCGTGTTGAATCACTCTCTGACTTCAAGTTAATGAGATCGTTTTTGCAAATCGTGTATCATTAATGCTGTATTAGGAGAGGATTTTGACTCCACATTTCAGTTTTAAAGTCGAAAAGATAAACTATATACAAGAATTTGTGTCTTATCCAGGGAACAGTATCTACCCTCGACTCTAGAATTTGTCTTCTGAATTTCAGTGGGTTTACAGGTTGTAAAGAACTTCACAGCTGCTCCCATTTCTTGACAAAACCTCGTGAGACACCCTTGATTGAAAATCTTAGCTTTCATGAGTTTGGCACCTTTCACAACAGCAGATTGTTCATGATAGATCTTTCTTGCACAGCTTATGATTCAAGGCTTGGCATTCATGAAGCAGTAGAGCCTTTCACAATGGATAAGATTTCTCTCAGGATGTGCTTCATAGCTTTAGAAAAAAATGAGTTTTTTTTTTTTTGGAATAGCTGAAATTATTGGTAGTGCAACCATCTTAACCTCTCTGCTGCAAGCTACAAATGTTTGACTATTTCTTCCCCTCCCCCTGTCCTGTCGCCTCCCCCTAGTGCTGGGGATTGAACCTTGTCAGTAGCCTGATAGGGTACTTGAATCAAGGACTTTGAGTTGTGGCAAACAATGGTTTTATAATGGTCTAAGCTGTTCTATGCTTTGCTGTCATTTGTGCTATTTTCTTCTCCCTCTTCTCTTTCTCCTCTGTACAACTGTACTCCACACACATGCATATATGCCCTGTCTGATCCTGGCACTTCTTCAGAATAGTTGGCTATAGGCTGCTGCTGGTGAGAACTTGACATGTAAGAACCAGCTGAAATATTTCATCTCAACATGTTCAAGAGTAAAAGTAAAATCTAAGGATACTTAAACTTTCTCATATTTTATTTTCTGTTTCTAGTTTGTTAGATCCAGCAGAAGCCTCCATAATAAAATGTGAGGACATATTTTTAATTTGTCAGTGGGAAGATACTGTAGTCATCAGAGTCTGGTAACATTGTCAATTCTGTTTCCCTATAGAGGTGAGATGATATATGTTGAAATGGCAAGAAACCCCATAGGATGTTGTAAAGTAGGGCCAGAGCGAAAAGATAGCTAGACAGTTACTTGTGAAAAGAAAATGTAAAGCCTATAATATCATGTAGTAAAATGTAATAATATTCTTCGTCAGTAGAACTGTTCTAGTACCACATACTCTTCATTCTCTGTTTAGATTAGCATCTCTCCCTAATGAAGATGATGGATGGGATAATAGTAAATAGAAAATGGAAATGTATACACACTGTTAAGGATGTACTTGGTAAAATTGTTATATTTAACTTTTTTATATGAGACTGAGACTCAAGTAATTTAGCTGAAGTTGGTAACTTTTAGCATCATGGAGTTAAATCACTGAGATCTCCTCTACTTAGCTCATGCTTAAATGCCTAGACCATGTTTTGCTTGAGTTACTCACAGTACGTAAAGGAGTATCATAGTGCGTTCCTGCCTTTATCCCTGTTTGTATCCTTAATTATAAGATGGGCTAGAGGCATGGCTGAAGCAGTGGAGCACCTGCTTGTCAAGCACAAAGCCCTGAGTTAAAACCCTACTACCACCAAAAAAAAAAAAAAAAAAAAAAAAATTAAGAAATGAGAAACAATAAGAAGCTGAAGAGAATTATGTTCTGGTGACATTTTAGAAGCAGAATCTTTTTTTCTTTTTTTTTTTTTTTCTTGGTTTGAAGAGAAAGGAGGTAGTTGTCATGTTTTTGTGAAAAATTTGTAGACTTTGCAGAGTCTACTCAAAATAATCTGACCTGATCTTGATACAGCCTCTGTGGAAGTGGTGCAAATTAGATAGCAGAGTTGTGGGTGAAGATGACCATGAAATGTGGCATTATATTAGTAATGTTCAAATAGTACTCTGAGTTTCAAATGTTGAAGAGAAATCAAACAATTGGTACCTCATAAAGTGTTCTGAGAGTGAGATAACCACTTGAGGAAAAGAAGGCTCCTTCTTTTATTCAGTAATTCAAAAGGAAGCAACTATGTTAGTACACTTCCCTGGAGTCATTCGTTTGTATATTTGATATTTTGCTTTACAAAAGTATGACAAACTATCCATTGTTCCCTCTGGTCCCTAAGAAAGCATGCTGCAAGGCAATTTTTGATGTTGGTTTCCATCTGTTCTGTGCCCCATGCTGTCTGTGTCTGCAGTTGGGTGTTAGTAGTATGACAGATAATCCATACACTTGTTGTAAACTATGAAAGAGTTATGTTTCATAAGAATGCTGATGAGTCTGTACTTTGGAAGGAGTCCTAAAACTTGTGAGTTTGAAGAGATTAATTTCTATTATATGACAAACTTTTACCTAGAATCACTCCTCTTTCCCTTTCTTTCTCTTGCCCCCATCTCAGAATAGTGGCAAGTAAAGTAAGTATGTTAATGTTTATTTTCTTTAATAAAACTTTTAAGAAGAGAATTTTAGCAGTTTCAATTTTCTTTTTCTTTGTTGCCAAATCAGCGATTAGAGGTAAAGTTCCTATATTATGATCTCTGTACATTAGTTCATTGAGCTTACTTTTAATGAAGATT